GGGCCAAGGTCTGTCTGCAGGTGAAGCAGCGCACCCAGGGCCGGATCCTGCCCCGGGCTGAGCATCTTCCTCCAGCCCCTCGCCCCTCGCTGGCCCCGCTCCTCCCGGGCACGGGGCTGGGGTGGGTTTAGGGACCGCCCGTCCTAGATCCTCACACGCAGTGTGGACAGTGGGACCCTCTTGTGTCACCTGTCCCATGTGTCCCTGCCTGAGCTCAGCACAGTCCCGGGGAGGGGGAAAGACACAGACACACACCCCCCCTTACAGACTGGGAGCAGAAGGGACAGAACTGGGAGCTGTGCTGGTGCCAGGGCTGTGGGATTGCACACAGCTGCTCAGCCCTCCCTCCAAAACTTTGCACTCCAGCCCCACACTCCCTGCAAACTCGGGGAGGGGGGGTCTCCTACCCCAAAGTGCCCCTAGACTAACCACAGATCATCTCCAGCCACTAATCCTGCACCCTAAAGTCTTTACTGCACCCCAGCAGCAAACACCTCTCTCCAACACTGCTGGCACCAAGAAACCCCCCCTCCCAGCTTCTCCCCATCAGCAAATTAATCCCCAGTCAGCCCTCCCCACACCCACCAGTGCTCCCAGTCCCAGAAACACCTGCACTAGGTGGACTTTAATCCTTTCCTTGCTGAGGTTTACAGCACAGCAAAGCCAGGCACAGCCTCTGGATAACCAGAGCCTGTGCTCATCCTTGCCCACTTCCCAGCACAGGGGATAAATCCCTGGGTGTCCCTGCTGTGTCCTGGCACAAGGGAACTCTGAACAAAACTCCCTGTGCAAACACAGCCTCCTTGTTCAAACCGTTGGGGCATCTCCTCTGGCCTCCCAAAAAAGTAATTAGTCAGCCTCGTTAGGAGAGCAAACAACTGAAGAGAGGCTGGCAGGGAGGCCTCAAAGTGCTCATTTCCGGACAACTTGGCAGGGCAGGATGGCAAACGTGATCCCACTGCACGTGAAAAGCCTCATCCAGGCTGTGAGCCCCCCCTGCTCACCCAGCCAGCCCGGGGGGGCTGCTGGGGGGCATCTCCATTGTGGGTTGTGAGGCACAATTACAGGATATTAATATCAAGCTTCCTCAGCAGTCATTGTGTGCTACAAGCAGCCCGATGGCTCCCAGCCCTCTGCATCTAAAAGGGGCCTCAGAGGAGACTGGGTCAGGGCAGGTGGGCAGGGCTGGAAATGCCTTTGCTGCAGGAGAGAAATGAAAGCAAGGATGCAGGGGCTGGTGTAGGACAGGACCTAGCAAGAGAAAAGCTATGTCTGGGTAAAGGGAGGTGAAAGGAGTTCTGTTACAGGGGTGAACGGCCCCTGATGTGCCCCGGCCTAGAGCTGAGGTCTGGCAACTCATCACACCCTGTGGGCAGCACAGTGCCCCACTGCCTGCCTGACTTGTCCCCCCCCGAGCCTGCCCTCCCCCCGCAGCACAGCACACACCACGGCTGCTCCAGGACTGTCATGAAGCTTTTATTTCCACCGTCACAAATTTCCTGGGTTTTGTTTTGTTTTCGTTTGTTTTGAAACTGTTTCATTTGCTTGGTTTGCTCTTTGAATTCATCTCAAGACAAGGCAGCAGGGCATGCAAGCCGAGACACACAAACAGGCTTCATCTTTACAAACAAGGTTCTCTGCTGGAGCTGCTGTTTCCCAGCCTGGAGCTCAGTGCCACCCCCAGGCAGGGGTCCCACAGGACGTGGCACCCAGGCCCAGGGCTGGCAGCTGCAGGAGCAGAGAGAGAGAAGGGCAGGACAGCTGGAACAGGCAGGGCTGGCACCTGGGGCTGAGCCCCCAGAGCTGCTCTGCGTGACCCCCAAGCTGCTGCACCAAGACCAGGGGCAGTGGCTTCACCTCCAATTCTTGCCACCACTCCAGCTGGTCCACTCGTCCCCAGTGCCCCCATGAAGGAGGGTGGCTGACACCCCCATAAAATATCCCAGATTCCCCCCTTTACCCAGGGCTGAGGACGATGGGACAGTGAGCTGGCTGTGGGTCACCTCCCCACCCCATCCAACCCCCCCAACCCTAAATCGAAGGAAAGGGCAGCTTTGCCCTCCTGCCACACCTGGCCCCCCAAACCAGCCTTCCTCCAGGCAGGGCTTGGGACCCAGAGACCCCCAGGATTAGTGCAGCCTCCCAGCAGCCCTGCCTGCCCAGGAGGAGCAGTGGCTCTGGGATGGGGGTCCCACAGCCCCCTGATCCAACTGGGAAGTGGTGTCCTGATGGCACAGACACCCACTCCTGCAGAGTCAGGCAAGATGTAGCTGGCACCCAGCACAAATGGGGTCTGGGGTCCCCCCTAAGCAAACACCCCTTCCATGAACCCGGCGGGGAGTTAATGACTAATCACTGCTGGGGTTAATTACAAATCACAGAGATGAAAGGGCTGCTCTGGAGGAAAAACTCACTTTGCTTCTCTCTCTCGGGTCCTGGTTCATGCTGTGATGAGAGGGTGGATGGGGGAGAATCTGTCCCCAGAGCCTTCTCCCACATCCTTGCTCCTGGGGGGAACCAGCTCAGCCCCAGCCCCAGAGCCCCAGGAAAGACAGTTACAAAGCAGCAACAGGCAGCACAAGGACAGAAAAATGGAAAGAAAGGAAAGTACAGACACGGCATTTTAATGGGGCAACACCAAGAGGGACAGATGAGAGGGGTGGGGGGACACGGGGGGGCAGGACCCTCACCTCTGCCTGGCTGTGCCTGGGGCCCCCTCCCCACGGCCAGGCCTGGCTTCAGGACAGACAGGCACCAGGAACCCGAGTACAAACGGAAACAAATCACGTCTTGTGGGCTGTTTGCTTTTAATAGTGACCAGGTGTAAAAAGAAGACTGAAATGGATCACTGGGTGATGTCACCTCTGCCCCAGCGCTCCCTGCCCTGCTCCTGCTGCTCTGCCCGTGCCTGATGGTCAGTGGGTCCTGCCAAACCTGCCTGGTCACAGCCAGGAGCTGCATCCAGCACTCACGTTCCCCCAGGGAACAGGCAGCAGATAGCTCTCCAAGAGGGGGCACAGCTCACCCAGGCCATTTTTCTGATGGGGAAACGGAGGCACAAGGAAGTTAAGGCCAACGTTTCCAAGCATGGGATGCTTCAAGCCTGGTTTTCAGTGGTACCAAGAAGCTGCCGATCCTGGTGATGTTCTGGAGGAGGTGGGGGTCCTTGGTGCTCCCCAAAGGGAGGCTCAAAGCATCCAAGCCAGGGTCCCACAGACAGGGGGAATGTTGGGGCCAAAATGATGTGCTGGGGGACACTGAGCGTGCCAAGAGCAGCACAGACTCCGTGTTGGGAGCCAGGACAAGAGCCAGCCCCAGTGTTGCAGGAGGGGCCTCTGCCTGGGAAAACTCACTTGTGCCTCCAAACCAACAGGGTCCTCACAAGGCAGCACAGAGCTTTTGAAAAAGCAAAGAACTTTGCTCTTGTTTTGTTTTGTTTTGTTTTTTCCTAATGTGCAAATATTTCAGAAGGGATGAGGGAGGACAAGGCATTGGGCTCCATCCCTCAGCCTGGCAGCAGGAGGTTGCAGCCAGCAATGGCAGCACCAGCCTGGTGGACACTGCAGTTTGGTCCTTCTGAGATCTGAAGCTCTCCCAAGACAATGCTGGTCCCACATCCTACCTGTGACAGGGGCCACACAGCCCAGGGGCTCCAGTGAGACACTGATGAGCTCTGATGGAAACCAATCTTTTGCAGGACATGACAGTTCGGAGCCTGATTGAAAGCATTGACCTTTTTTTTTGTTTTGTTTTGTTTTTTCCTAATGTGCAAATATTTCAGAAGGGATGAGGGAGGACAAGGCATTGGGCTCCATCCCTCAGCCTGGCAGCAGGAGGTTGCAGCCAGCAATGGCAGCACCAGCCTGGTGGACACTGCAGTTTGGTCCTTCTGAGATCTGAAGCTCTCCCAAGACAATGCTGGTCCCACATCCTACCTGTGACAGGGGCCACACAGCCCAGGGGCTCCAGTGAGACACTGATGAGCTCTGATGGAGCTCCAAGCATGACAGGTCCTCAAAAAATTCAAAGCCTTCAATGGAAAAGAGTGAGAGCAAACAAGGTTTGCCTTCACTTGGGAATCATGTCAAATATTGCAGGGTCCATAACTGATCAGCAGAGGCAATTACAGCAGCATCATATTCATTGGGAATATTGATTGGCACTGGGAAGGGACAGTCTGGCAGACAAGCATTAGAGAAGTTGGAGGCACTGCAAAGATCTACCCAAGAGAGTTGCATTTTGGCCACAAAGCATCAAGGAAAAGGAGTCTCCAGGGGGAATGAGCAAGGTGACACCCTCCAGGAGCCCCCAGCAATGAACCACAGGCACCCCCAGGGGCAGGAACTGCAGAAGAGGCAGAAATATTGCACGTGTACATGAGCTGGATCTCCTTGGGGATGGGGAAGGACAGTTTTTTGTGGGCATCAGAAAGTGCCATCAGCACGTATCTCCAGAACTGGAGGAGTCACATGGCAAAAGACAAGCATCACTTGGCCAGAGTCTGTCCCTGCCACATGGGGAGGATTCAGACCCCACTGGGGCACTGTCTTGTCTCCAGCATCCTGGGACACCCGTGAGAACATTCTCCACATCCAGACGTCACCTCCCAGTGCCCTGGGGATGGTCCCCACAGCCAACAGCTGTGAGGACTGGCTGGGCTCAGCCACTGGAGCTGCTGGCATCCAGGTGGAGAGCAGGGAGAAAAGGTGATGCCACGTCAGCCACCCTGGAGATGATGGAGGGATGAGCCCCAGAGCGGTGGGAGAGCAGCATCAGTGCCACCAGGACAAGAGCAAACCATGCTGGAGCAGGAGGGGTTTGTACTCTGGCTGGGATTTGGGGTCCCATGGGCACCCCACTGTACTGCTGAGGAGGTGCCAATCTTTCCTGCCCCGGGACAGGGGCCAAGGTGGGTGGAAATGAAGCCGTGGAGCACCCACATCACACCTGTCCTCCAGGCAACTGCATCCCATGGTGTGTGTCCTGGTGGGACCCAGCTTGGGCACCTCGTGGTGGTGGGTGACAGAGAGGCCACACCAACCCCACTAGCAGCTGGGGGGGGCATTTCCAAGCCCAACACTTGGGTGTCTCCAGGGGTGTTTGCCCAGCCCTTCACCTCCCCCAGGGCAGGCTCTGCTTTGGGACAGTGCCTGGGGTTTACAGCAAAACCTCCCACATGCTAAACAAGGAGGAAGGGGATAAGGAGCCACCCCAGGCTGCCACATCAGCCCAGCTGGGATGGGGGGACAGAACAAACCGTCCCCACAGGCATCCCCACTGGCACATGGGGGGGCACAGCCACCTCCTGGGGCTGCAAAGAGACCTTCCCACCACTTGCAAAAGGTGTAGCAGCACAGGAATCTGCCTGAGAGCAAAACTTGACTGTTGGCTCCATTAATACTTTTTCATGCACTGAAAAAATGAAACAAACAAAAAAAAGAAGTAAAAAGGCAATGAGGATGTTCTGGTGCCCGGAGGTCTCCTCACCCTGCCCAGCTGAGGGATGGAGAGGGCTTGGACTGCTTGGAGCCTGGGCTGAGCAAGTCCTAGCTGAGCTTGCAAAGGGGAGGGTGAAGAGAAAAATGCAGGAAACAGGGAAAAGGGAAGAGGAGAAGAAGCTACAGCATCCCCTTCCAAACAGCAGCCAGCCCGTGGAGCTTGGGATACAGGGGGGTAGGAGGAGAGGGGGGGAAGGCAGATTTTTGGCTTCATTGTTATTGCAGGCTCCAGGTGCCCCACAGTTGTGTACGAGCATGTAAACCTTACAGATCATCACTGGGTGGTTGGACACACACACACACAAGAGACTCAACACGGCAGCAACATTTACAAGGAATAAATAAGGGTCTCGATCGTCCCGACAGGCATGTAAAAACAAAAAAAAAAGCCTCACTTTTGTCCACCAAAGGGGGAAAAAAAGAAAAAGCACAATACTGTCTCACCAAAAAAAAAAATAATAATAAAATAATATATATTACTAGTGAGCCAGGCAGGGCTGCCAGTGCCACCAGGACTGTGTTCCCAATCGCCG